AGGTTTTTATCCCATCTTCCTCACCAGTTTTTTGGCCATTTCTCTACTACAATTTACAGCAAAATTCTAGAGCTGTTTAATCTGTCATTACTCTCATTCTCTCATGTGATATCCTAGTGAAAGGACTGAAACATGAAGACATTTAAGAGGAGAGTGAAGGTGAAGGAAAGACATCATTACTGTTTCCAGCAGTTCTGCTGTGAAGGGAGCAGAGAAAAGGGATTATCATGCCTTAGACTGTGTCCTACCATCACTGCTCCACTTGCCAGCATCCTGCTCACCCTCTGGACCCACCTTTCTCTTGAATCCACCTTCTTTTGAATCAACACTTCAATGTATCTTCAGCCTCATCAGGACCTGGAGCCTTCTGGAAATCTAGCATGGGTGTCCTCATTTCTTATGGTTTAGTTTCATGGACCATGATGACCGCCAGCTTTGCCCTCTCCCTTTATCATCCAGACAAAGGGTTAAGACCCTTCTTAAACTGGCACTTAATTTATTTTATCCCCGTATCCAAGAAGTCCAACCTGAGAAAATACTCAACTCTGCTGACAGATCTTGTTTTCATTGTACACACTTAAATTTCCATGGGCTTCCAATACACCTTGAGATCTACATTTCCCAGGTGAGTTGATAGTATTAGTCCCCAAAATTATTACTTCATACCTTACTCCACATACCAGAGCTTCTCTAGACCCCAGCTAAGTGTCCCATCACATGATCTAGAAACCTATAGACAGACATTTATGCTTAGAGATCCTGCACCTTGTTGCCAAGGCCAGTTCCTCCATCTGTGCACTTGAAAGCATCATCCGTTTCCTTTCCGTGAGATTATCAGAGCATGCATATTTATGCACCCACAAACACTACATGCAGCATATCCTCCACTTTTAAAAAAGAATCTTCCTAAATTTAATTGTCTCCAGCTACTAATTCATATCCCTGTCTCCATTTTTAGCACTTCTGAAACGCTCTATATCTGGGCCCTTTTTTCCTCACTGTCTCTTGACTTTAGTGTAATGCTCTTGAGATTCTCCCATGTTGTTATTGTTGTTGTGTACCAGAGAGTGGGAACTGACCCACAGCTGACCCTCTAGCAGGTTTTCAGAGGCAGTTAATAGCACAGGAAATTGCTCATCCTTCTCTCTCAAAGCAGCCAGTGTCCTCAAACCACATGCATTCAGGATTGTAGCACAGCTTCTTGCCACCAGAACTCCTTCCCATGTTATATAGTATTTTACAAAATCACTGCTCCTTTAATACTGCATAATTTCCATTGTGTAAATGTACCATAATTCCTCAATCCTGTTGTTTGTTGATAGCCATTTGGACTGTTTCCATTTTCTTGCTGTTGTGAACAATGCTGCTATTAACATAGGTGTACAAATCTGTTTCCATCTCAGTTCCACTTTCCTTTGGGTATTTTCCTAACTGGAATAGCTGGGCTATATGAAATTTCCATATTTAACTTTTTGAGGAAATGCTAAACTGCCTTCCAGAGTGGTTGTACCATTTTACAATCCCATCATTAGTGCATGAGAGTTCCAATCTCTCCACATCCCCTCCAACATTTATTGCATGCTGTCCTGTGAAATTTAGTTCCTGCTACTGGGATGAGATGGTATCTTCCTGTGGTTTTGATTTGCATCTCTCAGATTGCCAGTGATCTTAAGCACTTCATATGTCTGCTGGCCAGGTGATGTCTTCTTCCATGAAAAGTCTTAATCTTTAGCCCATTTTGTTATTGGGTTATCAGTCTTTTCCTTGGAGAGGCCTCTAAATTTATGAGATTCTTGTCTGAAATGCCATTGCCAAATGGTTGTTTTGTTTTGTTTCTCTTGCCCAGTCTGTAGGTTTTCTTTTCACCCTATTGGAAAAAGGTTTTGATACACACAGGGACTTAATTTTTAGAAGACTTCATTTGTTGATTTTTGTCCTCTCCTAGTTGTGCAACTACTAGGAATTCTTATTAGCACTGCTAACCACCCTTATCATGAATCTGACTCTTCCATACATACCATTCTAAATGCAAGTCACACTTTTCACCAGGACCACAATAAGCTCCTTACAGGTAGTCTATCTTCTATACAATATTTAGAATGCACTGACTTTGCTGATGATGTTTATCGTCAAGTTGGAACCGACCCATAGCTGGCCATCCAGTGGGTTTTCAGAGGCAGTCAATCACATGGGAGATTGCCCATCCTTCTTTCATGGAGCAGCTGGTGGATTAGAAATGTGTGCCTTCAGGATTGCATCACAGCTTCTTGCCACTAGTCGACCAGATTTTGTGGTTCAGTGCCATCGAGTCATAGACGACTCATAGGGTTTCCAGAGACAAGCCATTTCGGAAGTGGATGCCACTCCTGTTTCCAAGCTTGTTTTAATCGGGAAGCGCCACCAAACACTGTCCACCATGGGTAACCATTATCACATTTGGCACATCAGTGTCACAGTGTTCAGCATCACAGCAGCCACAAGTTATCTATGTTCCACTAAAATAGCCAGGATACTGTGTTTATCACTCTTATTAATCAGATTATATTAAAAGTTCAAACCAGCAATCGTATTTCCAGAAAATAGTATGTAATATGCATAGAAAACTTAACTGATCTTACAAAATTCTTCATAGCCCTCTCCTTAAGTCTCTAACCTCATTTCCATTCATGGACTTACTGCTCTAGCAATATTGTCTTTCCTACAAACACACTGTACTTTCAGTTCTTCTCATGGTCTTCTCCCTACTTTGTCTTCTTTCTAATCAAGTTCTCTTTAGAAAGAGGCCATATATATGAAACCTGAAATGCAAACCAAACTCACTACCACCGAGTCAATTAAGACTCGATCCTTCACTGGATTTGAGGTCGCAAATCTTTATGGGAGCAGACTGTCCATCTTTGTCCCTGAGCAGTTGGTGGATTCAAACTGCTTAACCTTCTGTTAGCAGCACAACCTATTACACTACCAAGGCTTTCTCTAGATGAAATAAACTTTGCCAATTCATTCTTTTTCCTTGTTTACCTTCTTCATTAGTACTTTAACTACCGAAATAAAGGCTTCAGCCCTGACTTCTCCCACCATGAAAATGTAAGCTCCACTTGTGTCATCGTCTTCATCCAATCCAAGAAGCACACCTGTCAGTGCAGCCACTTTATCGGTTGGTTAAATTATAGAACATATGCCTGAAAGGGAAGGCGGAAGTTAAGGAAAAGCTCTTTGAAAAACTGAAGGTCTCTTCAACGTCATTACATTGATTTCTCTATTGTTGTTGTTGATTGCCTTTGAGTCGAGCATGATTCACAGTGACCCTATGAACAAGAGGCCTAAAGACCCTTTGTAACTATCAACATTTCTCAGAGTTCATATAGTTTCCGAAGGCATGTGGTTTAGGAAGTAGATGCGACTCCTGCTTCCAAATATATACAAAGATAAATATACTATAGAACATACATAGACCTTTGGTGGTTTAGTGGTAAGGAGTTTAGCTGCCAACACAAAGTTTAATTCACTATCTGCCCCATGGGAGAAAGATAGGGCATCTCCACTCGTGTGATTCACAGCTTCCAAAAACCTACCGCAGGGTGAGTCAATTCAGACTCAGTAACAATGAGTGAGGTTTTTTAACAAAAAAATTTAACAAAAGTCTTTAAGGCCTTCAAAAGCAAAGATGCTAAGGTGCAGCTAACCCAAGCCATGTATCTTTGATCAACTCATATGCATTCAAAAGCACTGAAACACCAAAGAATTGATACACTTAAATTGCAGAATTGGCAAAGAATACGGAATAAAACATGGACTGCCAGTATGAACAACTGCCTTGAGAAAAGTACAGCCAGAGTGTGTTGTTCCTTAGAAGCAGAGATGGCAAGAATCCATCATGTATACTCTGAGCATGTTACACTTATTAGGTGCCTTTGAGTCAAGCACAACATATAGTGACCCTATAAATAACAGATCTGAACCCTGTCCTTCCCTTTGCCATCCTCGTGATCTCCGACACACATTAAGCCCCAGTCACTGTCAATCCATCTCGATAAGGGTCTGCCTCTTTCACAGACTTGTCCACTTGTTCAAGCATCATGTTCCTTTTCGAGGGCCTAAGCATCTTGCATCATGGAAGGGTGGAGGGTTAGTGAAGGATATGAAGCCCCTCAACCAGGTGGCCTGACCCGATGACTGGCACCATGGGCTCTAGTGTGTCAGGAAGTGGGGGATGACACAGGACAGGACTGGGTTCAGCTCTATTGTTCACAGGGTCACCATGAGTCATACTGACTCAGTAGCACCTACCAACAATTAACAACATGCCCAAAGTATGAGACAAAGCTTCCCCATCCTTGCCTCTAAGGAGCACTCTGGCTGCACTAGGAAGGACCAATCTCTGTAGAGAAGGCCAGACATGTGCTGTGGCAGAGGGCCAGTGAAAAGAAGGAAGACCTCGATGAAGCAGACACAGTGGCTCCAACGATCGGCTCAAGCTGTGCAGATGGCACAGCACCAGGTAATGCTTCACTTTGCTGTGCTTAAGGGTCACTAGGACTCAAAGTTGACTCAGCAACACATAACAGAAAAAAAGAATTCGACATTTCTATCCTGGCGGAAATCGTTATGTGGAGAATTTATTATTGGAGAAACAAGATGATGTAGAAAGCAGAAAATAGGTTGAGTTTGAGAGATGGCAAAGAGAACAGATTGGGGAGCGTCTCTTCATTAGTTCTCCGACGGACCACCATTCCTGGGATCCTCTCCTGCACACAGGATCACTATTATTTTATGCTCAAAGACACCTGCCCCTCCTTATCCTTCCCATGAAATTGACCAACGCTGTTATACTGTATTTCCTAATACATCAAGCTTCACAAATTTTAAGTCTTTTTTCCCCCTGCAGTACTAATGCACTAAAACTTCAGAGTTATATTAAAACTAATAGCCTGCATTTTTAAAAAAAAATCAATATAAATTAAGAATGACATTTTCATGAGTGCCTCCTTCTCTTTCAGGAACTATGTGAAAAACAACATTTGTTTTATGAGTCACCGCCAAGGGGAATCAGTGCCAACAAAACTACAAAAAAGCAAGAAGCCCCAGGAGCAGCTCCTCGAGTGTACAAGGCTGCAGACTGAGGGACCCCCAAGGCTGCTTTCTCCAGACACCTGATTGCCTCACCACCTCACCAAGGCCAGTGTGGCAGAACAACTCACAGGACGTCTGTGCCAATACTTATTCTACCCCATGCTTTCTTTTCAATGTCACTGAGCTTGTTTGAAAAAGATCCCTTAGAATTCTAGACCTTTAATTGTATCCTCTCCAAAAAGAGAACCTCAAAAGGTATATATGGCCCAAGGCCAGTTTCTTATTCTGAACAAGATACTGTTAAAGAGTGTACCTCAGTTTTGACTCCGAGCAACCCTTAAAGGACACAGAACTGCCTCTTGGAGTTCCCAAGGCTAGAATCTGCAGAATTCTGCACATCACTAGGTCTTTTTTTCTCAGAGAATGGCCAGCGAGTTAGACCCTCCAACTTTTTTTGTGAGAAAGCCCTGAGCTTTAACCATTGTTCCATCCCAGTCCCTTTATCTGAGCAAGATACAAAGTAAAACTACATCAGCTGATTCAGTGCCTCCCACTCTTTCAGAGTAGGACTTGAAAGACTTATGTTCTAGCAATGAAATCCATCTTTGTCTTGACATACATATGCAGTCACAGCTTTATTATTCAGATACCCAAGTGGTCTCATTGCCTGTCTACTAAGACACTACTTTCACTGGGTCTTCTATAAAAGAACCAGTACACAATGTGGTCAACTGCATAAATATTCTAGGTTAAGCTAGCTACTTGGCTAGGATTTTAATGATTTAGTTACAATTAGGATCCATTTATAATGATTATACAGGTTATTTTAAGTATTAATATAATTTAATGCAAAATCTTTGTAAAATTATTAAAAGAAACAATTCTATGACCATTGAGAAAAGGCACTTTCCCCCTATTTCTTTATACAAATAGAAAAGCAATTTCAAAATCACAGGACCATATTTATTTAGCAGTAAGTGTTAGCAAAACATTGGAAAAGAAGTCAGGTTGTTAGCTTCTTTATCCAAATCTCTAGTTAGTTTTGAGTGCAGTTCAATTTCTAAAATTTTCTTCTTTAAGGCTTTCATGAAAGCTTAGCAGCAATTCTGGGTCTCCCACAATTCCTAGCATCCTCAGGAGTATCACTACCTCAGGTTATAGCACAATGGCTGTTTAACTGATGTTGGCTCTCAAGATGAACCCAGGTACAGTAAGTAACACTCAGACACCAAGACAATCCCCTTACTATCATGCTCTGTGATGGATCAGTTAGGAACCAGTATCAGAAACACAGGTTTCCACCCTTACATAATAATGAATTACTCTCTTCTGTGCTTCTCCAGTTGTATTTCAAGAATGGCAGTGCATTTTGCAAATAACTTGATTATGACAAACAGTCCACAACAGAGGCCATGTCAAAGCATTTAAGTAGTTGTTGTTATGTGCCATAGAGTCACTTGCGACTCACAGTGACCCTCTGTACAAAAGCCCTAAATGCTGTTCTATCCTGTGCCAACCTCACCATCTGAAATGCACTCATTCCCACCACTCGTCACAGAATCAATCCATCTTAAGGGTCTTCCTCTCCTGCGCCATCCCTCCACTCTCCCAAACATGATGTCCCTCCTTGCAACATGCCCAAAGTATGTCAGACGAAGCTTCAGAATCCTTGACTCCAAGGAGCATTCTGCCTTCACCTTCTCCAGGACAAACCTGTTTGTTGTCCTAGCAGTCCATGGTATATTCAACACTCTTCTCCAGCACCACAGTTCAAAGGCATCAATTCTCTATCAACCCTATTCACTGTCCAACTCTCTGACACATAGCATGTAATTGAAAAGACTATAGCCCAGATCAGGAGCACCTTAGTCTCTAGCCTGACATCGCTGCACTTCAGTACTCTTGAGAGGTCCCTCACAGCTGACTTTCCCAATGCAAGTTGTCTCTTGATTTCCCAGCTGCTGTTGCCAAGAGTGTTGACTGTGGAGCTAAGTAAACTAAAACAGTTATCTCAATCTCTTCACCATCCATACTGATGCTGCCAATTGGCAGTGGTGAGAATCTTTTGTTTTCTTGATGTTCAGCTTCAATCCATATTCAATCCAGGAGGCTGCAGTCCTTGACCTTCTGCAGCAAGTGCTTCAGGTCCTCCTCAGTTTCAGCAAGCAGGGTTGTGTAATCTGCATAACACAAGTTGTTGACGATTCTTTAACCAATCCTGATGCCACATTCCTCCTCGTACAGCCCAGCGTCTCGGATGATCTCTTCTGCATACAGATTTAAAAGGTATGGAGAATGAATACATATCCTGACGGACCCCTTTCTTGATTTTGAACCATCCAGTGGCTCTCTGCTCTGTTCTGATGACTGCCTCTTGGTCCAAGTACCGGTTTCACATTAGCACAATTAAATGTTCTGGGATTCCCATTCTTCTCAAAGTCGGCCACAGCTTGTTGTGATCCACACAGTCAAAAGCCTTTGCACAGTCAATGAAGCACAGACAGACATTCTACTGGTATTCTTTGCTTTCTGCCAAGATCCATCTAACATTAGCTATAATATCCCTAGTACCATGACTTCTTCTAAATCCAGCCTGCACATCTGGCAGTTCTCTGTTGACATATTGTTCTAAACGTTTTTGGATAATTTTCAGCAGAATCTTGCTTGCATGTGATACTAATGATATTGTTCAATAATTTCCGCACTCTGTTGGGTCACCTTTCTTTGGAATGGGGACAAATACGGATCTTTTCCAGTCAGTCGGACAGCTGGCTGTCCTCCAGATTTCTTGGCAAAACTTAGTGAGCACATCCAGGGCAGTGTCTGTTGAAACATGTCAATTGGTATGCCATCAACTCCAGGAGCCTTGTTTTTTTGCCAACTCCTTCAGAGCAATTTGAACTTCATCACCACAGGCTCTTGCTCATGTTATTTCATGAAATTCTTCTGTGTCAGCCAATTCCTTCTGATACAGTGACTCTGTGTACTCCTTCCATCTTGATACTTCCTGGATCATTTAACATTCCACCCAAAGTATCCTTAAGTGTTGGCACCCGTGGCTTGAACTTGTTTTCCAGTTCCTTCAGCTTAAACACTGAGCGAGTTTGGCCCATTTGATTTTCCGACTCCAGCTCTCGGCACATTTCATTATAACATCTTGCTTTGTTGTCAGGGTGCCTTTTGAAATTTTTTGTTCAGCTCTTTGATTTTTTTAGTAGTAACCAATTAAATTATTAATACTAGGTTTTGGAGATGAAAAAATTTTAAAGCATGAACAATGTAGCTTGAAAAAAGACATGAAAATACAGTTAACCTGAAATGAGAATCAATCCTGTGAGCCAAAAATCTTTTAACAAGAAAGATCTTTATTTGGTTTGCACTTTTACTTACTGGCCCCCGACTGTTAGTTTGATATACACAGGTCTATGCTGTACTGCATTCCATTATTAAAAACCTCAAAGATTATAAACCTATGTAAGCAATAGTGAAACTGTATTATGTGATGCTCAAAGATTGACTAATTTTGGTTTTGGAATGTACTATTCTTAATTAAAATTAGCTGAGGAAGTTATAGGGAAAAGTGATTTGAGATTTTAGTTTCTCATGTTTTATATGCAAATTAGAATACATTTTTTAACTTTGGTAGAAGGGAAATTGTATTCTGTAGGAGTCAATTAAAGAGATTTACCCTAACTCTTTAGTGGAATTACATGCTGAGATTAAAACAGCAATAAGGATATGTAGTCAATGAATTTTTTTTCCCTAGCACCACAAAGTTCAGCCATTTTATGTACTTTAGCTATGGTTTAGTCCTTCATTTATGAATATAAATGAGCAAGAAATTGTAAATGGGCTTATTACTAGTGATTGCAACTTCAATTATCTGAAATGTTCTCTTACACTGAGTCTGTAAAATTAAAAATTTTTTCTTCAAACTATTGTTTTGATCCAAGATTTTCCTAAATCTGAGCTGTTTTCCAAAAATAAAAGGGGAAAATACTTCTAATATATATTCACATTTTTTGTTTATAGAGGAATTTTATAGCACTTGTGGAAAGCCAGCACTTGCTCACTTACCACTTCTATTACCTGCTGGGGGATCCATGGGGTAGGCCACTCTGCCAGGTGGTGCTTATTCAGTGACCCTAAAGCAGACCCAGGCCAGAATGCTACCCCCTCTCCTTTTCAGAGGAAGTATTTTTGGGATACTATGCACAGTCTGCAAGTCACATGAATACTGAAAATGTTAAGACAACTGAAAATGCATCTCAGATATATACTACATTATTTTCCTCTCCCTGCTTTTTTTTGTGAATAGTGCAAGGCAGGAATTCACTTTTTACTCTTTATTAAAATGGGTAATAACAAATATCTAAAACAAATAGCCCAGAATGTGAACTTTTTCCATCTGATTTTATTATCTAAATTTTAGGGGATCAGTCATCTCACTATCTTTTAAAATAAAGTAAATAAACACAATGGTGGGGGGGGGAGAAATCCAGTAAAATTCTGAACAATTAGAGTCAGTCTTTTAAAAGAAAGGAAATCTGAGAGTGTGAAAGGTGGGAAGACGCAAAAACAAACCAAAAAAGGATAATGTGTATTATTCAGTGCAATACTTAAAATTTTCAAGATTTTTATAATAAAGAAGGGAAACTTTATTAAATATGGAGGTTAAAGTAGAGCATTTTTGGAATTTAGTAGACTGTTGGGATGGAGCATTTTTTCTATTAAGTTGCTGCTGAGATGTTACAACTTTGCACGCAGCCTCATTTCCAGGTGACATCACTGCTGGGGTGGCCCACAGAGCGCAGAGCGCAGCCATGGCTTGGGCGGCATTACCACACTGAGGCTGGCCGCTGAGCCACAAAGACACTAACAAACGCCCATTTATCAGAACGTTAAGAGTGGCAGTCACATTTCAAAATGGCTTTCAAGCTGAACTCTATTACAATTAAACTGTGGCACAGAGGCAGCTTTGTGGGCACTTCTTGTTAAACAGCATTTTATCAACTTCTAATAAGAATCTCAATATAGCCATGAGCACCAACAAGAGTTTAATGAGTCAAGAACCCCAGTCACTTTCCTATAACTATAGTTGAGTCTTTCCAAAATAATAAAGGTACATTTGAGGTACAACCCATCAGGTTCTTTCTCATATCCATTTTTGTGAGTAGAAGGTTTTTCTTATTAAAAACTACAATTTTCTTAACTTTCAAAAGTTATTTAACATTGTCTATCATATTAAATTAGCAACATATAACATCAGGCTCTATCTATAAAGTTCTACTCAGGCCTCCTCTTGTTTATATACATGTTTGCATCTCTAACCTTCAAGAAGTAAGCTGCTATTTGATATTTGGTAACAGAGCATTAAAGAGATACTATACACTTCAAAAAGGAGCCAACACACTTTAGCAAAAGTCCAAGCTTGCATAGATTT